CAGGGGCTGTTCCTCCCCTCACCTCCTCCAGTCACACCCTGTGCAAGGCTGGGTCTGCTYACCAGTGCATAACTCTGGTCTGCCCATGGAGGGGATAACCAAGCTCATGCCACCACCCCAGCCTGGCCCAGGTAAAGATTTAGGAATTTCTTTGTATGCTCAGCAGCAAGAACCCCAGTGCTAAATGCACTCTGAACATCAGCAAGACGACAGGCAGTGGACCTCACATGCTGAGCCCCTGCCTGCAACTGGGTGTTCAATTTGAGATCAGAAACAGGTGGTTTGGTGTCTGGATATCACACAATTCTCTGTGACACTGCAAATAGGACATGTTTTCAGGAAGGTCATTTATGGCCAGCTCTGCTTTAATGATGTATTCTCCCAGCAGCAGGTTCACATTTCCTCCACCTCAGTTCCCCTCTTCTGTGCTATCCAATTGCAGCTTCTTGAGCCACTGCTCCTCAACCTCTCCTAGCATTAGAACACCCTCTATTTTGTACACATTTACATTTTTGTGTCTGTTTATCTGTGTACATTTGTACACATGTCATGACAATCACCTTCCCTCTTCCAAGTTTTTCCCACTATCAACATCAATAGCCCTCCCTCTGACCTTGAACTGAACTTGTAGTAAAATCATGGGAATTTCTTCTTTGACTTCATCTTGCTTTTAATCCAGCTCCCAAAACACAAGGTCAGAACAAGTCCCCACCACAGGCTTGGTTCCTCATCCCCRGCAGTGTTCTGCATGGGACTTGAAGGAATGGTGTTGAAAACAATAGATGGAGAATGGATTTTGTCTCAGCAAATGAATTCTACTCRAAGGGCAAGAAAGCTGGAGTCACTTGTTAATGGAAGAGACAAGATTAATGAAGCTTTCCCAAAAGGGCACCCCACCTTGCTCAGCACTGAGCACCACTAAGAACTCACATCTAGAATGCATGAATGCATTAGCCTGGAACTTTTCTGCACCACTGAACCCTTCATAGGYATCAGTGTGTTACAGCCAAGGCCCAGACCTCCTTCTCTTACGTTAAATTCTCTTTCCCATACAACAAATCTCGACACACACTTCCTGACCAGACAKAAAAACAGCTGACCTAAACTCAGTTCTGGCTAAACCCAGTTCTCCCAAGCCATGCAACAGAGTTAACCTGCACCACTGAGTAAATCCGGGCAGCTAATCTCACACGTCTCCTGTAAAAGAAAGGTGAAAAGATACATTGCCTTCCATGAAGATTTAAGGTAAGGTGTGCTTGTGGCAGCTTTTGGTTTCACCAACTCTTCAGCTTGCCAAWAGGAGTTCTGTGCTCTACCCTTTCTCTTCTGGTGGTATAGGTGTATGTGTGGTTTCACAACAAACCACAGCAGGGAACCAGCAGGGATGACAACATGCAGGCACGATGGCTTCTTTCAATAGCAGTGCCAGCTGAGAACATTTGTGCAATCACAGCCTGTTTATCCAAGCACAGAAATGTAGGAACTAAAYGTGTGATTCCCTCTGGCATCCAATCATGCTGTAGGAAGAGGTGGTCCCTCACCACATTTCTCATGCCCAATGTCCATACCCATGCCATAATTTTGCAGCAGTCTCTCTGGCCACAAGGCAGGCTGATCCAACTTCTGTATTCTTTTGTTCAGGGAAGGGAGGTTAATACTCAGTTGGAGCAGCGACTGGACTGATTTGAGGCCACTTGGTCTCCAGAGCCGATCCCAGGAAAGCAGYAGCAGCTTGCAGTCAGGACTGGATGAGAACTGGATCTTTTCTTCAGCAGCAGCCTGTTTTACTGGATTGCTCATCAAGGGAAGCCCAACTCCAAGCGACACGAGTTATTCAATTAACAATTCCTGGGAAACCCTGCCTGCGCACAGACACCACATCAGGCACCCTCCATCGCTGCTCTACATCACACCCATCCCCTGGACTCCAGCTCCATGACTGCCTCTTCCCAGAAGGAAGAGCTCAGCACAGCTAACAGCCAAAGGCTTGCAGTAYAACAGCCCATCTTTTAGCTGGAATGTGTCATCCTGGCAGCAACAGGATCTATCATCTGGCATGAAAACTCATAGCAAGACTTTGTGGTTAGGAACCAGGCTGGACAGATGGAGATAGGAAATTAGCGAGGGTAATCAGCCATTGGAATAATTTACCTGGGGAACCAGTRCAGCCTATTACTCGATATCCTGAAATCAAGACCGGGTACTTTTCTAGTAGAATTTTTGATTCAATGCAGTGATAACCAGGTGGGAATGTAAATACCTGCCAGGGGTCAGGTGAAGGTATCTGTCCCCAATTGGCTGATATTCTGAACATCAAGTGTGGGATCACCTCAGGAAAGAGGGAAATAACCTCTCTGTACAGCCCAAGTGCCAAAACAATAGAGTACAACTGCATTTGCACTGAAGTGACTTCTGAATAYTTCATTAGAAGATTCAACAGGAGTTCAGTGAGAAGCTGCAAAGCGGAAAGGAATTGCAAAACTTCCCAGGCATGACTACTGAAATAAACTAGCTGTGGATAATTTAGCCAAACAGTAACTAAGCAAACAACATCAACTGGAAAGATACCAGATGACAGAAGGCACAGTAACTCTTAGAACCAAACATCCTTGGAAAAAATGTGATTCCAATTAAGAATTTGAAATCCCTTGYGGGCTGTTTCTTCAATTTTGTCTGGAACAACTATGGAGAGTGAATGTAATATGAATATAAACTAATTAAATAAAACAGCCCACTTTAAACAAGACTCTAAAGTAGATTACGTTAAGAAGAAAAAAAAAAGAAAAAAAACATCAAAAACTATAGCATAATTGGGCTCTTTCCTGCTAGAAAGCACTTGAAATAAGTGAATAAGAAAAGGGTAAGACTCAACACAGCAAGCACAAGAACATCCATCTAAAGTTAGCACGATGAAATTAAAAAACAAAAAAAAAAAGAAAACGCACCTGAGGAACAGAGTCTTACCATCAAAACCTATCAGGATGCACAAGAGATTCCCAGAGGAAGTATTTGTGYCCCACTATTTCAGACAGCAGAAGCACCAACCTCAAGCTCAGCTGCCTGCTGTCACGAGCGACTGGACGCCACTGAGATTTATGCAGACCATGAGGCTGCTATACAGGCAGGAGGGGACAAATGCCACCCTCAATCACCAGCTGGAAAAACGAGGTTCTGCACAGAAGCCAGCTGAGCTGCTCCTAACATTAACAAAAAACAAAGAATTCAGACTTGTTACAACTTCAAGTCTGATTTGTGGATGCCTCTTCACCCAGTTCAGGTGCAGTTCTGAAATCTGGGTCACCCATACATTATTCCTCCAAACCAAGCCACCTCCCTCCAGTGCAACCCTTTAAAAGGACTCTGCCCTTATCCAAACCATCTCCAAGTCATTTAGGTTATGAGCAACTCCAAAACACCAGAGAATCAAGTCACAAAACTTCCATYAATGCATTACAGATGTAGTTTTGGTCCTGGGGGAACAGGCACCCAGCTCCAGAAGCCAACATGGGCATCCACATCCAGGAGCTCCCTGATAAAGTCTGCACCAAGTCAACACTGATGAGCTGAGCTAAGATCTCCTTCTCGGACCCCATAATTCCTACCAGGTTTGATGCAGTCTTAGCCAATATCGGGGAATAAACGAAGCATCAAGCAAGGACAAACATGGGCGCTGGGAGAACGATGGGTCAGGCGACATCCGTGGGAGCTCCGCATGCCCCCCTGGCTGGTTGTTTTGGGCGATGGGGTTGCCATCGGAGCTGCTGCGGTGGCCGGCGCTGCGGGAAGGAGGCAGGAAGCRAGCAGCAGGCAGGGATCTCGCCTTTCGTTCCTCTGCCTTCCTTCTGTGACAGGCCATAAAAGTCACGAGGCAAGGAGGAAAACAAGGAGGTGTCCGGAGTTCAAGAGCAGCACCCCCGCGACTCCCGGGCCGCAGCTCCCGGCGGGAGCTGAAAACCCGGCGAACACCGTGGGATCTCGCTCCTGCGTGGGAGGCACCATTTCTGCGGGAAGAGGCTCCTGCTGCTGCTTGGCAGCCGAGCCTGGGACCGGGCCTGCGCTCCGGGCCCTCCCGGCTGCCGGCAGCGGGCGGGGGAGCGGGGGACGGCGGGCGGGACGGGCGCTGCCGTCGGGGCGCGGAGCCCCCGTCAAGGATGCGGCCCCCAGCCAAGGATACGGATCCCCGGGGATGCCCCGGGCCGGGGAAACGGGAGTCCCTTTCGCCGCCCCCTTGGGGCGCACCGGGCTCCCGCAGCACCCCCGCGGCGGCCGCGACCCCGCCGGGTTACGCGCCCCGATGGCGCCCGCCCCGCGCATCCGCACCGGGCCCGCCGCGGGAGGAGCGACGCTCTCCTTCCCCGGAGATCCCTCCTCCCGTCCCCCTCGGGTCCTAAAATGGTGGGTCGGCCAC